TTAAAAATTCAGCACTAAATTTTAAAATTCAGCACTAATTATTGAAATTTCAGCGCTACTATATATATTTATATATACATTTTGAAATTCAGCGCTATGATGTGACTAGATGTCCTGCACCATAGTGAATCGATTTTGATAATTTTACCACCATTAGAATCGTCTTGACCTGGAGAATATCTTTACTTAGAAACAGATAGTAGACTTGATTAGTAAAAAATCCGATACGATTACACTTAGGGGTGCTTATTTTTGGATATTATACAAAATTTGGTGGTGCTTAATTTTGGGAGGTGCTTAATTTCGGAATGGTACGGTACTTTGTTAGAGGTTTCATAGCTTTATCAGATTTTTATAGTTTTTCAGAGTTTAGATATTAGGTTTTGTCATTTAAGAAATTAGGTTTTGTTTTTTGTTATTATGAATAGCAAAAGTGAATATGTACTATAAAAAGTAATTTCTATAATTATTATAAATCCGAAATAAACAAATTGCAATAGAATTTCTATAATAAATTTAAATTTTATATCATATATATAATTTATTCAGATTTTGCCAAATTTTATATTTCTTATATATTTTTATAAATATTAAAAATAGCTTATAAAGAACTTAAATATAATCTTAAAAAAAAAAAAAAAAACTTATAAAAAACTTATAAAAACTTAAATTTAATCTAAAAAAAAATTTAAAAAACTTATAAAATCTTAAATATAATCTTAAAAATAACTTAAAAATTTATAAAAACTTAAATATAAACTTAAAAAAACTTATAAAACTTAATAATAATCTTAAACCTTATAAAAACTTAAATATAATCTTAAAAATTTATAAAAACTTAAATATAAACTTAAAAAAACTTATAAAACTTAATAATCTTAAAACTTATAAAAACTTAAATATAATCTTAAAAACTTATAAAAACTTAAATATAAACTTAAAAAAACTTATAAAACTTAATAATAATCTTAAAACTTATAAAAAATCTTAAAAACTTATAAAACTTAAATATGATCTTATAAAAACTTATAAAGCTTAAATATAATTTAAAAAACTTATAGTATCTTAATTATTTTAAAATTACTTATTTAAATTATTGAATTTTTGTTGAATAGTATAAAGAAGTTTTTTTTCGTTATTATCTATTTTTAACTCAGAATTTTGTTTTATAAATTGTAAAACATTATTTATACCGTTAATTGCACTTTCAATTGTAACTGGTTCTTCTACTATTTCACTTGAATTATCTTGAATTATATCAATTATTTCTTCATTTGTTAAATCAACACTTCCATATAAATTGTCAATATTAATATATTCATTTGCATCTAACATATTATTATATGGTAATTTATCAATTAAATTTTGAATAATTTTTTCTTCATTTTGTGAAGTTATAATTAAATCACCAGTAACAGTACTATCTGATGATGGTGTTGATGGAGTTGATAGTACTAATAAATCTTCAAATTTTGAAGATTTTAAAATTTCAGTTTTTCTTCAACAGTTCAAAATAGTTTCAGGTGTAACATTATTCCAAGCTTTCACAATCCAATTAATTGTGTACAAAATATCAATTTCTTTAGGCAATACATTAGTGTTGTAAGTTGCATTGAATTGATCTAATTTAAATTGCAAAAGTTGTCTACGATATTGAGCCTACAAATAAATAAAATTTAAATAAATTTAAATTAATAAATCTAAATTCAATATTGCTAAATTATTTTACTAGATTATATTGTTAAAGTAAAAGAAGTATTGTGATACAGTGTATACTGTAGAAATTGAATATAACTCATGACCTATTGCTTCAAATCAGAAGATATTTATACCATTTGATTTAGATAAAGAGGTTATAAGTTATTATAGATTTTCCACTAGAGATAGTACTCATGTAAGGTGCCAGTCAAAATCCTGACAAACAGAATCCCAACAGATCATAATCTTGACAAAAAAATCCTGACAGTAAAAATCTTGACAAATCCTGACAACAAAGTTTATTTAAGTTGGGTAGGGTTAGATGAGTGCATAGGTTAGCATAGGGTGTGCGTCTAGGTTAAGGTTTAGTCAATTATATATTAAAATTGCTCAACGACCACTTTCTTTGATTGTCAGGATTTGTTGGGATTTTTGATTGTTAGGATTTTTTTGTCAGGATTAAGATCTGACATAATTTTTTTTGTCAGGATTCTGACCCAAACCCTCATGTAAAAGTTATCTGAGTAACCTGTATAAGACCAGGTTAGCCTATTGCTACTCAGGTAACTCATATTAATTATTGAAAACAATAATTTGTCTAGATTCAATTGTACAGAAAATATTTTAATAGCTTAGGAAAGTAAACTGTATAATCAAGAGATAGCTGTATAGGAATTACTTTTTGATTTCATATACATGCTATTTTGTTAAGTCAGTCTAATTATTTTTAAATGTAATAAGAATTAGATTGTTTTTGTAAACCAGAATCTATGCATTGCTTAGCTAATACAATAAGTATTCGGGAGTTTATATGGGCGAATTTCTGTGATTATTTAGATTGAATGATGAGATTAAATAGAATCTAAAACAATAATATATAAATATGGCATGATTACTGAGATTTAAAATAATGACTTTATTAGTGATCGTAAAATTGCTTATGAATCACTCATGAGTTTTTATATCCCACTTATGAGTAGTAATCCGAACAGGTTAGCTAAAATAACCCAAAACTACCCTGAATCTGATCAATTTCAGATCATTTAAGCTAAGCGGTTTATGAGTATTACTTTGGTATATATGGCCATCTATATCCTTATTTCTGATTTCTATTACTTTGATAAGATTTTATTAAGAGGCTTTGTTACTCAACAAAATCTTAGAACAGAGTAGCCTTGTTAAAAGTAAGGCCATATAGTATAAACAGGTAATATCTCTTTATATGTGTATATAGAAATTTCTACCTATATATCTAGAAGCAAATTCTTGCTATAATCCTCGATTAATCTCAACAGCAAGTTTGGAATTAAAATTACATCTGTTAAAAGGTCCCTGGCAGACATTTATGCTTGAGCAACATAGAGAATGCTATCTTAAAGATTACCTTCTAAAACGCTTTCTAGATTGCATGCTTTAATTAGTGCATTGACCTTATATTGCCACTGTGAAGATCAGTATGAATGTATTTTACATAATCTTGAATATCAAAAAATTCACATGTAATTACAATTAGGCCTGACAAGAAAGTTTTTTATGAAGACTTCTATAATTTAAAATTTATACATCATATGATAAATTATTTTCATTTAGAATGGGCAGGGTTAAAGATAGTGGCTGAAATCGCATACTTTTGGCGTAACTGAAACCGAAGTATTTCGAAGGTATTTTCGAACAAGGTTTGATTTTTTTGAAATGTTCGAAAGTCGAAAGTCTAATCGAAAGTCACTGACCGGATAACCGAAAGTCGAAAGCCTGACCGAAAGTCTAAGTTTCTTATAGTATAATATGATAATCTATATGATAATATAAAATTAGTAAGGTATCCACATTCTAATTTGCCACAGTAAGTACTTTTGGTGAAAATTTTTGTTAGATTCTACTCTAACAACAACATTCTGATTGGACAAAATTGATGACCCCTATTAAAGAATTATAGTATTTTTTTTAAACAATAACTTGATAACCATATTTAAATCAATGAAATTTTTTTTTATTTAAATTCTATCATTTAAAAGAATTATAAAAATAAAAAAAATTTTCATCAATTTTGAACAAAGTATCTCAATAACCATTTATTCAAAATCAATGAAATTTTTGTTGATTTTAAATATATGGTTATCAAAATATTGTCACTTAAAGTTAAAAAAAAAAAAAAAAAAAAACTATAATTCTGTTAATAGGGATCTCATTTTCATCCAATCAGAATGTTGTTCAAGTTTAATCTAAAGGTACTAGTATACTGTAGCAAATTAAACCGTGGATACATTAATAATTTAACCTTAATAGTACTTTATTTTCGATCAGGCTTTTGCTTCCAGTCAGACTATCAACATTTGGTCAGACTTTCGACTCTTGGTTTTGTACTTTTAGCACAACGGATTTACTGAAGGTATTTCAACACACCAAGCACTTTTGGTCACCATCCTTAGTCAGAGTTTCGAGTGCAACAGTATTACACGTTCTTATATAATTACTTTTGTTGTCATCAATTTTTCATATAGCACCTAATTAGGATGTTGAATATACAGAGCCAAATCCTCTTTTGCCAATTTCTGTAATATAACAAATGGAATCCACTCAATTGTATACCCTGTTTAATGGTTCTAAATTGAAATTATCTAATTCAACCATCAATATCTTTATTTCTACATTCAACCTTGTGTTGTAACTGTGAGATCAGAAAAAAAGTTACAGGAAGGAAATTGACCTCATTTGGTATTTTTTCAGAGTGTCTCTTTCGTTTACTAATTATCCTGGTATGGAAAATCTGCGGTGAAAAGAAAGCTCATTATGAAAACTTTGCCAATTTGACTCGGATCACACGTTAAACAACTATACTTGTTTAAGTGTTATTTTCATTTATAATATGAACATTTGTGTCCATATCCCAACAGTTACTTTAAAAGCCCACAGCATGTTTTAATTTTGAGTTTGTTATATCCAGTGTTCATTATAGCAAAGTTCTTTATACCCAGAATCTGTTATAACGAAATTCCTTATATCTTGAATCAATTCATATTGTATGTCATGCTTCAGCATAGCACAATCGTAGATTGAGAATCAACTATTAAAATTGCTTTCTGACAAATCAGTTAATAAATAACTTCAGCATTTCAATTTTACAGATCTAGCAAATACAAAGATTGGGAATGGAAAAGATCTTAATCTGACAAAAAATATATTTGCTATTCTGTAAATAACAAGGTTAACTAGATTATCTGGGTTACTTTATTTGACCTAGTATTTAACCCAGTAATAATATTTAACCAGATCCTAACTCTATTAGCCACAATACTCTTTATCATTATAATTTTTTTAATATTTTAAATAATACTTACTTTAAATGAATGAATGATGCCAGCATCTAATGGTTGAAGATGAGCTGTTGTATGAGAAGGTAATGTGTGAAGAGTAATGTTTGATAATTCTGAAGAGGTTAAGCTAAAATCACTACAATGTGAAGGAGCTTGGTCATATAAAAGTAAAATAGATTTATTTTGAGTTTCCATTTGGGAATTTAGATCTGTTAAAAAACTATTCCATACTACAGTGTTCATCCATGCTGTTTTATTAAAATAATAATGAACTAGCATGTCTAAATCATCTCTTGTAGTTCTTGAAAATGCTCTAGGTGTTTTATAGTAATGAATTACTAACGGTTTTATCTTAATAGTACCTGTTATAATTAATTTTAAATTAAAATATTATAATAAATTATATAATTATATATTACTTAGTTAATTATAGTATAAATTAGCATTCAGATCTGTTGTACTTTCTATTCGGATTATCCATATAATACCAGATAATAGATAATATTTTCATTTAACATATAGTTTATCCGGATAATGTATATTATTCAGATAATTATCTGTATAATCTATCTTAACATTATCAACCATGAACATTTATTCACTTTCTGCATTTGTCATTAAGTAGTGCTGCAAATTATTGTCTGCTTCATACAGTAATTTTTAATTCTTATACAATTACCATGGACGAACTAACATAATGCATATTTTTGAATGCGGCAAAGCAATAAAATTGACTTCTGCTATGCCAATAGGAATGGCAAATCATGTAAATGTTGTGCTGGTTAGGAACTAAGTTTAGTAGCAGTAGATAGTATATTTAAAAAAATCATATGAGATCTTTCATTATAGATTCTTTTGCTCTTTCTTTGATAATCAGTAATTATCAATTCATATCAGCAAAGAGTCAGAAGAAGAAATCATAAAAAGTAAAAGTATAACTATAGATTGAAGTAGGTATAGAACAATCTAGACAAATTATCCAGAGAATAGAATAGAGGTTGGACTCATTTAGAAAATATCTACCCAGATATTATTAAATTACTTGAGTTTTATCCAAGTAATTTACTATATTTTGAGTAACCATATAGCAGCAATTTTTACCTGAGTCCAATCTTTAGAATAGAATATATAATGAAATTCGTATAGACTCGATATAATACAGATAATACAGATAATTCAGATAAGTTATCCAAATAACAGAATTATGATCAGATAATATGTTTATTCCACGGGTCTTATGTAACAACCCGTGCTTTTTTATTTGGTTATTGCACGGGATTGTACGTCAGATACCGTAAAATAGCAAGTATTTATTCAACAGATAATTATCTTTAGATAACAAATTATCTGGATCTGAATACTAGTATAAATAATTATATTTAGAAAAATTTAATTTAATATAGTTAATACATACCTGTGGCATTTGTACATAATAAAATAGTAGCTCGTTGTTTATCTTTTTTGATTCCAGGTGTTGCTTTTTTGGCCAAAGATCTAGAGGGCTCCATTTTCCAGTATAATGCAGTTTCGTCATAGTTAAAAATATCCTCTAATGGCTATTCATCTAATAAATTTTGTAATGAATTGCGATATTCAGGTAAATTTTCAAGCGGTGCACTACTTGCTTCGCCGTGATGGTTAAATTCACGTAAACCAGCACGTTTTTTAAAGTTTGATAACCAGCCATCTGAGGCTTTAAAATTGGTAATATCTAAAATATCAGCAAATTGTTGCGCTTGTGCAATTAAAGTATATCCGGTAATTGTCATTTTAGCATTTAAAGCTCTATCAACCCATAGATTTAATGCTTGTTCAATTTCTAAAAATTTTGGAGTTTTGTTTCTTTGTAAATTAGCCTCATAACTATTTAAGTCAAGATTAACCCAATGGTCAGAGTTTTTGAGTATATCTCTAACTGAATTTGAACTAATATTAAACTGATTTGCTAATTCAATATTAGTTAAATTTGGATTATTTATTTTAAGTAAACATAATTCTTTTTTTTGGTATCCTTTTAATGTATTTCTTTTTTTAGAAGTGATATTTGGTTTTTCTTTTAAAGTATTTAAAATTATGTTTTTTATTTTTAATTACCATAATTATTAAACCTTAATTTATAAAAGTTTGCATAAAGTGAAGTAAAAAGTTAATTTGTAAAAAAGAGCGAAGAAAACTTAAATTATAAATACATATAAATTAAATAATATATTTATTAAAGATTTGCATATTTGTATTACAATGTGTATTAAAAATGTTTTTCTAATTGTAAAAGGTAAGTGAATAACTAATTTATATGTTATTGTTTGTAATACATACACACAGGTTGAATCAATGAATAATGGGTACATATCGGGAGACAAATCTCCCGATATGTACTAGTAATGCCTGACGAAACCATGTGATGCTAATTATCACGTGCTATTACTTATAAAAAATCAAAATAGATGTCAATTTTTATATATTGTACCATGTGACAATTAGCATCACATGGTTTCGTCAGGCATCACTAGTGCACACCCCATCTCAGCAGATTTTTGAAAATAAATAAATGTTCATCTTTTTTAACCCCAACTCCATTTAGATAACAATATCCAAGATCAAACATTCCATAAGCATGACCCATATCGGCAGATTTTTGATTGTAAACGAACGCTTTATTTTCATCTTTTAAACTCCGAATCCATTTAGAAAGCAGTTAGCAAGATTATATGTTCCACTTATGTGATCTGTTTCTGCAGATTTTTTATAATAAATTAACGCTTTATGTTCATCCTTTTCAACCCCAATTCCATAATGATAACAATGACCAGTATAATATGCACCACCAGAATGTCCCATATCAGCTGATTTTCGATAATGAATAAACGCTTTATGCTCATCTTTTTCAATACCAAGTTCCTTTTTATAAAGTTCCCCAACTTGAAACATTCCATCAGAGTCTTCCATTTCAGCAGATTTTTGATAATATATAAATGCTTGATGTAAATTTTTTTAACTCCATTTCCACAAAAATAGCAGTATCCAGTGTTAAATGCTCCTTGAGCGTAGCCCATATCAGCAGATTTTTGAAAATAAATAAACGTCTTTTGTTCATCCTTATCAACTCCAATTCCATTTTGATAGCAATCACCAAGTCTATATGTCCCTCCATCTCGGCTGATTTTTGATAATAGATGAATGCTTTATTTTCATTCTTTTCAACACCACTTCCAATCATATAACTTATCCCAACATTAAGACTTCCATGAGCACTCTCCATCTCAGCAGCTTTTTGATAATAAATAAATGCTTTTTTTCATCTTTCTCAACACCAATTCCATTATCATAGATGATTCCAACGTTAAATGCTCCTTTAGTATGCCCATCTCAGCAGATTTTAAAAAATAAAGAAAGGATTTATATTTATCTATTTTAACTCCAATTCCTTTAGCATAACAATTTCCAAGTTCATATGTACTTTCAACTTGCCCCATATCAGCGGATTTTTGATAATAAATGCATGCTTTTTTCTTATCTTTCTTAACTCCAATACAGTAATGATAACAATAACTATCTCGATATATTCCATCAATACTTCCCATACCAGCAGATTTTTCATAATAAATAAACGCCTTGTATTCATCTTCTTCAATTCCAATTCCACTTTCGTAACAGCAAGCAACATTAAATGCGGCATTTCCCATGTTGATAGATTTCTGTTTATCAATAACTTTATTGTAAATGGATGACTTATATTCATTCATGTCGGCAGCCTTTTTAAGATGAATGAATCCTTCATATTCATATTTTTTAACTCCAATTCCCTTTTGATAACAATAGCCCACATCACACGTTGCATGTTCATGCCCCATATCGGCGGATTTTTTGAGATAATTAAATGCGCTATGTTCATCTTTTTCAACTCAAATTCCTTGAAAATAACACCGCCCAAGAAGATATAATCCTTCAATATTCCCCAATTCTGCAGACCTCTGATAATAAGTGAATGCTTTTTCTTCATTCTTTTCAACTCCAAATCCTGCGTGATAACAAAGTACAAGAAAATTTAATCCATCAGAATCTCACATCTCGGCAGATTTCTGGAAATGGATCAATGCCTTATGCTCATCCTTTTCAACTCCACTTCCATACAAATAACATGTGCCAACTTTGTTTATTCCTCCAGAATCTCCCATATTTGCGGATTTTAAATAGTACAAGAAGGCTTTGTGATTGTCTTTTTCGACTCCGTGCCCTATCTAGAAATAAACCCCGAGATGAGCAATTTTGTCAGAATCTTCAATCTCGGCAGATTTTTGAGAATGAATAAAATTTTCACACTCTTTTTTTTTACCCTCATTTACAATATTTTGTGATATGAGTGGATTAATAATTAGTAAGCTATCATCATTTTCTTGCATTACTTGATTATCTTTATATTCGGAAAATTTATTAGAAAAAAAAAATTAAAAATAACATTTAATTAAGGATAATAAGCAGTATAACAAAGTAGCTATTACCTAGATAATTAGTCGGTCAGAAGTAATTCCATTTTTATATGATAGGGAAGCAAACTTTATGCTAGTATAAATGGCTTCAGAATGTGTCTTGAAGTGGGCCGGAATCGATTTGCTGGATTCAGAGAAATTTTCAATCGTTTCATCAGAATCTACTTCTATTGACATATCGTTTGAAATAGTACTGTCTCACATACTTATTGTATCAAATACATCTTTAGAAGTTGGTCTTTTGTCTGGTCGAGCATCCCAACATTTAGTTATTAGTTCCTTAACTACTTTAGGTGCATTTTCTTGAATAGTTGGACGCAAACCATTATAGATATCATTTGCAAGACCGATATCATGTGGAATATCAGTATATATCAGACGACCTGATACTATTTCATAAACAATAATGTCAAAAGAGTATACATCAGATGCTGTACTACAGTCATCCCTCCATATAGTTACCTCCCATATAATCACATCATATGTAATCACATTTTTATTTAGGCCAAACTATAATTTAATTTATAAAAAAAAACCTCCATATAAGCACAACCCCTATATAAGCACATTTTGAAAAAAAGTTACTATGTGCCCAACTGTGTGATTGTATGGGAGGACGACTGTATATGCTTTTTCATATAATACTTCTGGTGCTATATATGGAATTATACCACATAACTTATCGTTTGATCCTATATTGGCTAATGAATAAAGTCCTAAATCTGCAATATATGCACTATGTAAGTTATACATCCACTATTTAAATCTCGGTGAATAAGACCTTGAGAATGAATAATCTGAAGATCAAATGCAATGGATGTTAATAAAAGTAATTTCTTTTCCCACGCCATTTGTGATACAAAACAAAGATTATCACGTAAAGACCCCATTGGCAGATATTCAGTAACGAGAATATAATCTTTAGAGACTTCATCTTTTGATATGCCCAAGCATTTAAAAAAGGTTTGATTTTTAAGACCAATGTCACAATATGCCTTTAACTTTTTGTAATGAATAATAAATTCAATTTATAGATTATATTCAAATAAATCATTAATGATAACTATAAGGATAAAGAACATTACCTCATTTATAAATTCTTTACTACAATCCCTTGGTCCGTGAAGAACTTTAAGTGCAACAGTTGTTTAATGTTGTCGTTTATGATCAATCCATTCAGCAGAATAAACGGTTGAAGATCCACCTTTTCCTATCACTATGGTATTTTTAAATTCATTATAATCAATCCAACGTATAGATATTTATTTTCTATGAGCATTTTTTTCAAAGTATCGTCTACATCAAATTTTTTATGTATCCATTCATCTATGGCTAATTAAAGCAAATAAATAATATATAATTATAGGTTTTAAATCATCATTATTGAATTAACATGAAGCATTAGAAAATAATATAATTACCTGATGTTTCACCTGATGTCATATTTTTTTCCCTAATTAACCACGATATGAATTTATTAACAAATTGTATGTGTAGTAAAAATACTTTTATATGAAAATATTATTATCTTTGATACCAATATTCGGCTTTTTGTAAATCCCTTATCACACCAATTCCATTTCGATAACAATCACCAACTTTTCTTATTCCAGGAGCATAACCAATTTCTGCAGATTTTTGATAATAGACGAATGCATTATGTTCATCCTTTTCAACTCCAATCCCATCAGAGTAACATTCTCCGAGATGATATGTCCCTCTATCGTGCCCCATATCGGCAGATTTTTTAAAGTAATTGAATGCACTATGTTCATTCTTTTCAACTCCGGTTCCTAGTTGATAGCAATATCCAAGGCTTAAGATTGCTTCTGCATGTCCCATTTCAGTAGCTTTTTGGTAATAAATAAACGCTTTGTGTTGATCTTTATCAACATCAATTCCATGATAATAGCATTTTCCGAGCTGACACGTTCCTTCTTTATGTCCCATCTCAGCAGATTTTTGATAATAAATGAATGCCATATGTTGATCCTCTTCAACTCCACATCCATAATCATAACACAAACCAAGAAGATATAGTCCATCACTATTTCCCATCTCGGCGGATTTTTTATAATTAATAAATGCTTTTTGTTCATTTTTTTAAACGCCAACTCCGCTTTGGTAGAAATCACCAACTTTAACAAACGTGTTAGAATTTCCCATCTCTGCAGATTTTTGAAAATAAATGAACGCCTTATTTTCGTTCTTTTTAACACCAATTCCCTCATAATAATAACGGCCAACATCAAGTATTGCGTCAGTGCACCCTTCTTCGGCAGATTTTTGCAAATAAATAAACGCTTTGTGCTCATCCTTTTCAATACCAATTCCCTCTTCATAACAACGATCAAGTTCATATGCACCACGACAAAATCCTTTTTCTGAAAATTTTCTATAATAAAATGGTGCTTTATTTTCATCCTTTTCAACACCAATTCCATTTTGATAGCAATAACCAACTGCATACATCGCACTACCATAACCCATTTCAGCAGATTTTTGGTAGTGAATAAATGCCTTTTATTTATCTTCTTTAACACCAATGCCTTTATCATAGCAATACCCAATGTTAAACATTCCACCAGCATGACCAACATATCCCATTTCTGCAGATTTTTGATAATACATAAATGCATAACGTTCATTTTTTTCAACACCAATCCCATCTCGATAACATCGTCCGAGGGTAAATACACTTTGAGCAAGCCTCATCTCAGCAGAGTTTTTATAATGAATAAATGCTTTATATTCATCTTTTTCAACTTCAATTCCATTTTCGTAATTATGTCCAAGCCTGTACATTTCAAGAGCATGTAACATCAATATAAATTTTTGATAATTATGGAATTTCTCTGATTCGGAAGATTTTTGATAATAAATGAATGCTTTATGTTTATCTTTTTCGACTCCAATCCCAATATTATAGCAGATTCCAAGATTAAATAACCCATCAAAATGCCCCATCTCAGCAGATATTCGATAAAAAATGAATGCTTTTTGTTCATCTTTTTCGACCCATTTACCAAAACGATAACAATTTCCAAGAATACAATAGAGCGCAGAATTGCTATAATAATTTAAACATAAATTAATTATATCATCTGGACTTTGTTCATTTGTTATTAAAAACTTTTCAATAGTTTCAAGAGTTAATTTGATATTTTTGCTCTTAATTCTTTCTTCATTATATAAAATACATAGTTCATTAATAATTTCATCATATAATTTACACCATTCAAAAATAATTTCGCTATAGAAATTACTATCAAATTTATATGAAAATGATTGAGCGGACTCCATTGTAGAAATTCATTAAGAGAAATAAGTGACAAATTTATACAAAAATGTGGTAATCTTAACGCAAATACAGAGTAATAGTATTACTTTATTTAAACAATGGATAAAATTTATCCCATTCAACTTAGGAATTCTGATAGTACATACTGTACGTATGTACATTCGTGCAGAAAATCTAAAAACTTCAATCTCTTTATATATAAGTAACGACAATAAGCAAAATTCAACATATATCTTTTAGAGATAAACCAAATTTGTCGATTTCAACAGTTGCTTATTCCACTCTATCGGTGTTCTTGGCGTATTATTTCTATTTAAAGAATTTTAGGCTTTTAGATTTCTTGGATAAGATGCTTTAAATACAAATTTGTACAGTACTGAACAGCAAAAGACACGCATTGCTTATAAAGATGCTAAAATTTGAAGCTTACGTAATTGATATCAAAAAAATTTGGGTAGTATATTTCACTGCCTGCATTAAGATAATCTGCCTATTCATAATTGGATTTATATAATGCACGCGCCCCAATACAAAACTTATTGGGAGTTTTTAAAGTTTTGCGTGTAAGATTACTAATTTATATGCTATACTACAGAACACACCTTACATTAAGCTCACCTTCACCCTAAACTACTGCAACTTAAGCCGAGCACAATTTGAGGCAAGAATTGATCTGAGACACAAGTATATGACATGAAGTGTTCTGATTATCTTAATTGTTATATTTTATTATTTTAACTTGTTATGAAAAAAAAAGAAGCTCATTCGAATAAAAAATTAAAAATGAAATATTCATATGCTAATTTACTTTCTATTTTACGTTTTGTTCTGTTTTTCCTTTTTTTTTCGTCGTCTATGCCGCAAATTAGACCAGGTAGAAATCTAGATTATGCTCATTTAACAAATACAAAAACGGGATCGATACTTAATATATATATGTATATACCTTTCATGGAAAGCAAAAAATCTGATTATTACAGATGAAAAAGATTAATTGAGACTATGCTTCTTGATTATAGCAGGAATTTAATTTATTGCGATTGGTGCTCCGAAAATTCAGATTGAATCGGATCCTGATCTTTTCCAAACATAAAATCATAGGCAGAAATTTGTCGTCTATTGGTTATTTTTTTTAGATTTACCCATGATTACCCGTGGTTATTGACCAATCAAATACATAGCTTTATTAAAATTCCGAATTATTATATTATTAAAAAAATTACAAAGAAAAGAAAGTCTTTTACGTAATAATAAATTACACGAATCAGAAAATATTCATTTGATAAGTATGTCTATAAAAAACACAATAAAGTATTTATAGCTTTTAACAAATTTAAACACGTTCTATATTTTACTACTGTATTCATGGGCGCTTTTCAATAGAACGGGGATCTACCTTACCGCTAAAAAATATTTTTTGGCCTAGTAAATTAAGTTAATTAAAAGTTAAATTATTCTAGTACCAGGAACGGAGTGATGCAAATCACGTAGTATATGGTTATATGAAGATCGAAATGGCGTTATTCCCAAAATCTTATATCTGATTGGTCCGCGTGACCTTAATCATCACATTCCTGCATTCTGAATATTTTTCACGTATCAAGTATCATACTTTCTATCTGTAATAATATATGGTATAGATCAGCAAATATAAGCGCAAATACATATTTATATACAGAATGCTTTCTTAAAATACAAAGGACCGCGAACATGTGCATTATCAAAGTTACGATATTAAACTTAATTATTTTATACACAAAATTTGGTAACCCGATGCAAATTAATTTGTCCATTTACCTGATATTTGGCATTTTTCATTTTTTTTCGTCGGATTTTTTATTGGGTTGATTAAATGATAATCACTGATCGTCAAAGA